GTGACTAGGGTTAGGGTTAGCATTGGGGGCGCGGGGGGCTGGGCGGGGGAGGGCGCCCCAGGCCCTCCGGCTGTGACCCCAGAGCCAGAGACGGGCAGCTGCCCCGGGCCCTAGGCGCCCTACCCTCGACCCAGAGGTTCCGCCTGCTTTCCTGGGGTCCTGCCGAGCAGTGGGATCTAGCACTGTAGTAGATCCTCTCCTTGCGAAATGGGACTTCGGCTTGGGGCGGTGGACTTCCTACATCAGTGGGGGTCCCCATGTCCATCCAGAGAGTCTCAGGATGGCTGGATATTAAGAGTTTTCGGGGTGTTCTTCGGTTAGGGCAGAGAGGAACGGGGGGTGTCTCGAGGAGGAGGAGAAATTGCTCCTGCGTGGTAGTAACGATGGATCCTTCGCACCGAGGAGAGCCCCGGGGGCTGCTCTCTCTAGAGCTGGACACGGCTGCCCCTTACGCAAAGCGGGAAAATGATACCACAAAGTCTTCTTCCAGTCAGGCTTGACTCTCAGTGACCTCGTGGACATTTTCACAAGCTTTTCTTGTCTATAGAGGTGGTTCATCGTTGTCTTCTTCAAGAACGTTGTTTCCACTTTTCAGACTAGGCAGCAGGATTTCTTGGTGGTCTCCTTTCCAAATCTGACTTTCCTTTACACTTTGAGATCACCAAGATTGGCTATGTTGCCACCTGCTTTCTTGAACACATCCATGACGTTTTCTTTGGAACAGCATAGAAGAGGTTGGAACATTCTTTTCCTTCACAGTTTAAGCTACAACCCCCCTTCAAAGAGCTGTAGTCTCCTATTCAAGCCCTAATCAGTAGGGCTGTGCCTTGCTTTGGAAGTAAGTCAGAAAAAGTGCGTGGCAGTGTGCAACCGTAGCATCGTCTACAGCTCTTTGAAGCAGCCACGTCTTTTCCTGATACTGCATAGGTGTCCTCTGCATATCCCTGTCATGGGATCAGGGGAAAGACACAGCTGCTTTAAAAAGCAGCACGCCTCTTCATCCTCTGAAGCACTGCACAGCCCTAGCTTTTTGATGTCAGCCAAGGTTGACTAGAGGCAGCCACGGGCAGGGCAGCTCCACTGCAAATCCTTTGCCGGCTCTTTATCTTCCTCCTTCCTTGGTCCTTTCCCTCTTTCATCGACAAAGGCCTCTGCGTCACATCACCAGTGCTTCATCTTCTTTGAGGGTTGTTGAGGAAGAACTGGAATGCTGCTGCCTGTCAGGGGCCACAGTACTGGGCGGATATAATGTACATTTCCAAGCACTTGATCTTAAAACACAAAGAAGTTGCATATCACTGGGGAAATTATCATGGGAGGCCCATTTCAGGAAGTTTGGCCAGAGATTCCCAAACTTTAGTGTGTGCACTCAGTATATTTTTCCAGTAAGACTGGAGGCCTTCTTACCCTTACAAGCGACTAGATAGTAATATTTTTCTGATTGGCTCTGAAAAACAGGCAGGCAGTGCCTTGCAAGTCAAGGACAATAACACAGTTAATCCTTCTTGCTGCTGGCATTCTACCTTTACCCCAACTTCTCAGCCGCAGCGTGTCTTAATTCTCCCCCTCAGCATTGAGATGTTGTAACCCAGAGGAGGCAAAATCAGAAATACTTAGATTTCTTCTCTTGATAGGTACACACTTCCCTCTTGTGGCATGCAGCAGGCTGCATTTTGGGGATGGTACAAGCCACATTGGGAAAATAAACTTACCTTGGTCCTCCTGTGTTCCTGTTCTTTCACTCCCCCATTCTAAACAGTTGCTAAACAGTCATTTATTGTTAAAAGTTGTAAGAGGGTTAGATTTGCTTCTTCTCTGAGAGATGAACGTTCTTGTAAAGATTGCTTTCAAACCTTGCTCATTGCTTCAGGAGCCTCTGACCAGCTGGGTGCAGATTTAGAAGCAGTGATGTAATACTGTTTTTCATTGCCCTGAAGGCCACTGGTTTCTCACCCCTTCCCCAACGGGAGGCTCTTAGTCAGACCTTCTCCTTCTCAAGATTCCCTTAAGGAAGCAGCAACACCAGGCCCTTTCTGCTCTAAACAAGAACCTGCCTGCCTTGGCTTTGGAGTGCCAGTCTCTTACTCGCTTCATCCAAATTCCAGCTAGCCTGGGATAGGCTGCCTCTCTCTGTACCCAAGGGAGCAGCAAAACTCATAGGCCTGATGCACTGAAGCTTGCACTCAAGCCATCTTGCTCCTGGCTTGTCCCAAGGATACGTTTCACAAGTCGAATGAGGGCCGTCTCCCCAAAATAGCCATCAGCAAAGAGCTGCTAGGGATGCTGAGTGCCTTTCAGACCCACCCTTGGGCCAGATCTTAGCAGAACAGCTCTCAGGAGGTTCTGATTCTAAACCCCTGCGGTGGCACATGGCCACCAAACAGATACAGCAGTTCAGGAGTGGAACCTCTGTGATGAGTTCTTGAGGAGACAATTTGTAAATGTCTGAATGGGAGGTGGGCAAGCCAAACTTTCTTGGCTTCAAACAAGTCTTCCCCATCTGGGGAGCCGGAATTGCAACTTCTAAAATTCCCAGCCTGCAGGATCGTTGTCAAAGGGGGGGGGGGGGAGGGAGGGATTGGGGAGTCACATTCGCAGCGCGTCTGAAGGTGGCTGTAAAGCAAGGCTATGTCTATTTGGCCAATGCTGATAAGTCATTGCTACAGTTTCCCAAACTGTGAAGGAAAGAAAAAAATGTTGTGAGATATATGGCTTTTGCCTTTTAACTGTATCTACGGCTCAGAGTGAGAGCCAGCTTGGTAGAGTGATTAGAGGTTCTGGGCTAGAAACCGCGAGGTGATGAGTTCAAGTCCTGCCTTAGGCAAGAAGCCAGACATTTGCATCACTGTGTGAATCCTCATTTCCCAAAATCTTATCCTGGGGAAGGCCATATTTCTAGTTTTGTTTGGCAAAACAACCAGTCAGTTATCTTTGAAAATAAACTGAAAAGAAACATTTCCATTTCTTTTTATGAATGTAGCATGGGGAGTGGGGGAAGAAGCTGGTAAACTAAGAAGATTAGCAAGGGTCTTGTCTCAAAGGCCCCACTTGTTTGTTTTATTTGTTTTTTATAAGCCATACTTCAGGATAAAAATCCCTGGGTGGTATATGCATCAAAATAATAACCTTTCGCCTCCTGGTATTCAGCAGGTATATTTAAAGATGAGCAGTGCTTGTTCTATTGATTAACTGTTGGAGGAGACCTGCAATTTTGTCTTTCTGGTAGCACCAGTTGATTCAAGGTTGGGGGCTGGGGGAGATGCTAGCCCTGCTACCCCAGGTTGGCTGGGTCCAGGGTCAGGTTCTTGGCCGTGAGGCAGACTCGGCCCATCTGATAGGCCGAGAGGGCTCTCGGGCCCCGGTACGTGCTGCAGGCGGGACTGCTGGCTCATTCTCCTTCCCTGGGAGGGTTCGGCACAGGTCCCCTCCTGCTTCTCATGATTCCTTCTCCCTGTCTTTTTCAGAAGAGTCCCTGCTGGAAGCTGTGCGGCTCAACAGCGTTCCTGAAGTGGAAAGGTGAGATATCGCTGAGACATTTTCGTGAACAGAATGCCCAGGGGAGCAGAGCCTCTCTGGAATCACTGCTAGCCCTGCACACCTATCTGGAAGGGCAGTTGCGCCCATTGCTGGCGCTGAACATTGTATATGAGGCTCCTGGTTTCCCCTGAAATATGTCCCTTGGCTCACTTGCTAGAGATAATTCAGAGGTCATCCAAAGCTAGCTCTAGCTGTCCTTTTTCCCTCGCTTCTTCTTCCACATTGCCCGTTTCTTCCTCATGTGCAGTTCCTTCTGGTTCCTTTGCTCTGACTTTGTCCTGTGGCACTGCCATGATGTACCTGGGCCATTTCGGGAGAGGAGTTCACAGAGGCACACGATGCACGGAATGTGTTTTTGTTTTTTGCCTGCTTGTGGTCCTTTGACCGTTCCTGTGATTCAGTTCCTAGCAGCCAGGGTAGGAAGGATCTTTCCAGACGTACTGGATACTGAAAACATGGAAAATGTGACAGTCCAAGTTTGCTTTACTTCGGATGCATTGATGTGGGATCCCGGTGGCCAGATGGAGAAGCCCTTCTGCCCAGCGGATCTTTACCTCCTGTGCTTTACGAAGAACGTGCCTGCATTTCCCGCCAGCATGTCATATTTTAAGAGTAACGTTTCAGCACTGCAGCTTGTGCTTAAGCCTGATTTTCTGCCGTGGGTCCTCTTTAGACCCAGATGCCTTGATTTGGCTTTTATTCCTGGGTGGGGAGGAGGACTCTTCGTGCATGTCCTTGTTTGCACAGCACTTTTTCTTCTCCCCAATCAGTGGTTCCTTCTGTTGCCAAAAGCGTCCAGAGCCAGGCCAGCATCTTCACCTTGCTTCCCAGCCGCTGCTTTGTGTTAAGTCCATAGTTAAGTCCATAGGCACGAAGCAGCATCCCCCTGCTTTTTTTTATTTCAAGGAGATTCCTTGTCGTCCTCCTAGAGAAAATTGTCTATGTAGTCACTAAGAGTTGACACCCACTTGATGGCACATCCTCCTCCTCCTCGTAGTCCTCACTTGCTGCACGTTAGGGCTGAGATCTTTGCCAACAGGCTGTATATTACTCCAGACGCTGGTAGGATCTAACTCGGTGATTTTCAACCTTGGCAACTTTAAGATGTGTGGACTTCAACTCCCAGAATTCCCCAGACACTATGGGTGGACTTTAACCGCCAGAATTCTGGTTAATAATTAATTTAACAAATTTAGATAGCTGCCCATCTCTCAAAATGTGACTCTGGGTGACGTGCAATACATAAAAACAATAAGCATCATAAAACCCTAAGAAAAAACAGAAAAAGTTAAAAACTCAAGATAGCAGGAGAGACAACCATCACTTAACATCACACAACCATCTTGCCAGCTCACCATGGGACCCCCAAGGTTGATGGAAAAACCATGCCTTGAGGACTTTCTGGAAGGCAAGTAGGGATGGGGCCAATCTCACCTCAGAGGGAATGATGTTCCATAGGGCGGGGGCCACAGCAGAAAAGACACGCCTCCTGGGTCCTTCCAGATGGAACTCCTTAGTAGACAGGACCCGCAGCATACCCCTCCTGCTCGACCCAAGTCCGCACATCTTAAAGTTGCCAAGGTTGAAAATCACTGATCTAACTTTTGCTTGTCCCATTGCAAGATCGGAAGCTGATGGCAAATCATTGTGTCCTAACATATGCAAATGCCTCAGCGCTCTGCCAAGAGTAGAGCGTTGAGGCATTTGCATAGGTTGGGACACAATGATTCCTTGTGTCCGTGGCTCAGCCACCAGCCGTTTTCCCTTCGTTTCTGGTGTCTCTTGGGAAGTAGCCCCTTGTGCCCGGCGAAGCCTGGCCTCCATCAAGGCTGCTGATGGACAGCAAGCTGGCCCTTGGCAGGAGTTGCAGGAAGGAGCAAGTGGTTGGCAGCCCCGGTCTCCTCCCTCCCACCACTGGCTGAGCTTCACTTTCCTAGATGATCTTGGAGGAACGTGGAAGAAATTGGAGATAGTGAGGGGATGGCGAATTAATTTGAGACCACGTTTTTAAAGAATTGAATGAAACTCCTTGGGAAGGGGGCTTATTTGGTTAGATGTGATTTTTTTTTCCTCTTGGACACTGGCCCCAGCAGCATTTAGTGAAGGGGGTGTCTGATGTCTAGTTGTTCCTTCCAGGGCTGGAATGGAGCAGGCGCCACCTGAGACTTCTACAGTGGTGCTTAAAAGTTTGTGAACCCTTTTGAATTTTCAGTGTTTCTGCATAAATGTGACCTAAAACGTGATCTTTTCTCCACACAAGTCCTAAAACTAGATAAAATGCACTCAGTTAAACAAATGAGTTAGAAACATCATACTTACTCATTTATTTAATTCAAAGGGGTTCATAAACTTTTAAGCACTGCTGTAACTCGTGACTTGCTGATTTTTCACCCACTTTGTAGGCAGGCAACTTTCCCACGTTCCCTCCAGAGCATGGCTCCTCTTGTGCTTGGAAAAAAGCCTGTTTGGTATTTCTAGCAACATGAAAATGGGCGTATTTAGTCAATTTTATCTAAGAAACCCAGATTTAATTTTAATAGTCTCTGTGAAAGCTGTCTTAGCATTGGCTCTCAGCCAAATAATATCTGGCCTTGGGATGTAAAGTGCAGAGGCTCAGTTTGGTGGTCCTGGAGGTGCTGGCATGGGGCCAGCCCCAACTGGTTTGATGAGACCGTTTTCTTGCAGATGCGCTGCAGAGATTTTTGCAGAGGCATCTTCAGCCAGCCTGGCAATTAAACAGTAACATATTGGGAGAAGAAATAGGATGTATCTGCCTACCCAGAACAGACGCTTTGTTGTGGCCCAAAGTTCAAGTTTCCAGCTTCCTCTTCCTTCACCTGCCAGGAGGGTGAAGCGGGTGGCTTGCAGCCCTGAGCACAAAACCAAACATGCCCTTTGGGCTTCAGCTTTTAAGCAAGAGCTACCCGGAGTCACTCAGCCAGAACTCTGAATAGAGACTCCATATGTCTTGCGGTGGGGGATGGCGGGGGGAGCACAGGGCCTGTGCTGCAAGAGGAGATGCCCAGAGAGGTCTCAGGGTCATTTGCCTTTGCGGGGCTTGGGGGTGGGCTGCTTAGAAGCAGAAACACATCCTGGCTGCTGTAAGAGTACTGTGCCTCACTGGAAGGCCTTTGGTCCAGATTGTTGCTGGTGCACTGGGCGGCGGGGGAGAATGGGCTTACTAGCCCAGAGTTGGCTCACTAAGATTCCCATTAGGGAAGTGTTTGTAGCCCCTGGGAAGTACCATAAGGCTCTTCTGTCTTCCTCGTGCAAGCAGATCTCTTTACTTCCTGACAGGGGTGAAATTGTTCCAGCATGGTGGGATGGAGACGGGGTGGGTGGGCTGGCCCCATCCTCAGCATTTAGAGCCAGGTTCCACCACCTGATGGCTGGGCTACAGAAGTCCAAGAAGCACCTAGCTAACGTCACACTGCTGTTGGCTTTCCCTTCCCGTGCTTTGGGGGAGGGAGAGCCACAGCTGAACATAGTGGTTGTGTTCACATGACCCAGTGACCAGGACAGGTAAAGACCAGGCAGATGTACTTGGCTAGATTTTTTTGTAATTTAGCATGTTGTGTGAACTTGGCCCATTTGGCTACTTTATTGCTCCAACTTAAAAACTAGCATAATTCAGTCATCGGGTTAGGTTTGATGTACAAATATAGCCGGTGTTCCTTGTGTGGCTGCACTGTTAATCCATACAAAGGCATTTTGGTCATCTGTTTCCTGAGAATCCTGGCATGGAATTTATCTTTTTAAAAATAATGCTGCTACCCACGGTATCCCTATTATTTTGCTCACCAGCATCTCTTGACAATCTCTTTTTCTAGAAGATACCCCCAGTTTGCAGCTTAAGAGTGTGTGTGTGTGTGTGTGTGTGTGCGCGCGTTTGAATGAGAGAAGTGTATCTTGCAGTCACTTGGACAGGCACCTTCACCCTGCTTGCTTCCTCCGCTGCCCTACTCAGCCCTCCAACAGCCCCCTTGGGCTTCTCTGAGGCTTCCCTGATTCTCACTTGTCATCATTCACAGGGCAAACTTGAAACAAGCTATGGTTTAATGTAGTTTTGCTTCATTTGTGAGCAGCTTGCCACTCCGTTTGAACATTATCTGTATAATGTTAAATTGGTTTTAGAATACAATACAATAGTAGAATACAAATGCACTCTTCCTGCAAGTCCACAATGTCTTTTGTTGCATTAAAGAAGTGACTGGATGGCAGTAGATACTAACAGAGGCATTAACTGGAGGTAAATATTCTCCTGCAAATACCTTCCTCTAGAACAGCTCTCTGTAGCCTGATGGATGTTCTTGAGATGTTTGGGGAGTGCAGTTCACAGAATCTGCAAACAACATGGGCAGTAATCTTAGCTGGCAGTTGAGTTATCCTCATTCATTTGGGGGGTACCAAATTGGGAAAAGCTGGGCTAGAGTTTGTACAGTATATGTGGGAATGGGCCTCTTCAGAAGCAGTTCTACCAAATTCCTTGGGCATTATTTAGTTAAAATGTGGGTAAACATCCGTAAAGGTTGATCAGAGAATTTTATTTAATTAGCAATAAAATGCCCTTGCTGGTAAATACATTTGGTTGTCTAGGAGCTGAGCAGTGGCCATCGCTATATTGATTTGTTGTGATTAAATCAGACAGGGAATATATTAATGATGATCATGAGCCCCCCAAACATAAAGTTCAGGCGTTTCACAGAGCTAAGTTGCTCAGCATCAACATGCTGATTTTTAAAAAACGCCTATAATGGAACCATCAGCACAAATTACGCGGCTTACTGGTGCTGTAGTTTTTCAGTTCATCTTTCTAGACAGCCTGAAGCTGTGATGAGCTTCATCACCATGTTCAAGCAACCTTCCCCAGTCTGTTGCCCACCAGAGAAGCTGGACTTCACCTCCCATAAACGTGCTAGTTAGACCTGTGGGAACCTCAGTCCAGCACCTCTAGAGAGCAGCAGGTTGAGAATTTATTG